TTGACCTTTTGTGTAGCAACCCAATTATTGCGCACTGCACGTCTTGTTATAATGGTGATCCGTTGTGCCAAGTTATTTCAAAACTACAGCGTTAAAAAAGTTATGGAGCGGACACGAAATGTAGACTTTTTATTATTAAATGAAGACTTTTAACATTTGACCTTAAAGTGTGACCTTGACCTTGTGGGTAGCAACCCAATTATTGTGCTCTGCATATTGTCTCGTTATTGTGATCACTTGTGCCAAGTTATTTCAAAAAAATTTCAGGGGTTTAAACGTTATGGAGCGGACTTGAAAGTGTTACGAACAGACTGACAGACGGGGTCCATTCCTATAATCCCCTTTCCGCTACGCGGAAGGCGATTAACAATGTTGGTTTAGTCCCATCTGAAAAAGCCATACATATAAAAGCTCAAGATCTTTTTATTTATTTCTGGGAATTTTTGAAAACATTACGCATTGTCAGTTCTATTTTTAACTTCTGTGACTAAGATATACAATAATCCAATTTGTGCAAAAAACAACAACAAAACAAAATTTCTGTCAAATTTTAACAAATATTAGCCTATTTTCACGTCACATCAACACTTTGAAAGGCTTTGTGGCAATTTTCCTGCTTTACTGAGGAAGACTTTAATATGTTTCCCTCCGTGCATTATTTCATAATATTGACACCTTCTGGTCATCTTTTGAGGCAAATCAGAATTACAAAGTCTAAGTCTAAGTCAAAAATTATAAGAAAGTAAAATTTGGCTTATTCAAATAAAGAAAACATTAAAATTGTTTGTAAAATAAAGAAATCAAAGTCATATGTTCATCCTGATTCCAAATTCAAAAACCTCCTGCACTTGATCTTAATTTGGAACACACTAGTGTTCATGTGCATTACATGCTACCGGACAATTTGAGAAATGCTGTTTTTCCTCATCTCCAATTACATTGAAACTATGGTTTTAAGACTGCACTTTTATAATGACTTATTTAAAACAGGAGGTTATATGAATTTTGGATACGTTCAGCCGCGGGTTATTCCACATTATTTATTAATATTTATTGATGATGAGAAAATAACAAAACTGTAACAGTTGATATGATTACCAATCATATGAATGTCTTTGAGATTTTATTTGAATGCTTACCTGTATATCATTATAGCTTATTACTACGTGACGACAATTTACATACTTTTTTGTGTGAGTGGAACAAAATCGCTCCCAAAGTTTTACAAACACGTATTTTTCTTATAACTGGTAAAAAACGGTCGAAAACAAAATCAAAATCTATCATTACACCAAATTTATTAAGTGCCTTTCTGATATATATAACTTGTTTAAATGCGTTAAAATCAACAAATTTATATCACAGTTATAAACATTAAAAAAGAATACTCGACATTAAATGAAATTTCAACAATTATATACAAATCTAGATATGACTATGTAAAACTATTTGCATATAAACATACTCTTATTTTCAACGTGATTTATAATAATATTATGAAACAGACCGCCATCTTCTTAAATAGTCACATATTTCTAAAGAACGAAGTGAGACTGCAGTAAAAAAACTCATATTGTTTACATATCGGAATTACTTATATTGTATAATTAATTTGAGACTTTTAAGTTTAAGTTTTGTGTACATTCTTCTGTAGCTTGTTCTTAATGTATACTGGAGTTTGTCCCTTTCAATAGGTAAAACAATGGAGATTCTATACAACGTTTTAGGGATTCTGTTTTTCTCTATTTTATTATGTTTAAATGGAGGGGTTGTTTTTGGTAATAAGACAAGATGCCATTTGATGAACAGTCCGGAGTTTGTTGATGATCATTTAAGACATACTGACCGTATAACAAAGCATTAGATGGTCTGACCTGTAGGTCACAAAATAATTTATAAAGAATTTTGAGGCTGGAATATGGCCAGATATGATAAAACTGAAAGCCTCATATGTTTCCGGGTTTCTATCATTTTACCACTTTGTTGCCATGGCAACTGAACCAATTAATGTTGTCGATAGAATGAAAATCTACCTTTTAAAAAATTATAGACTTAAGAACATTTTAAAATGTAATCTTGTTGGTTATTCTTAGTCTTAATAATCGTTATATATCAGTTCACTAGAAATTGGGACTCAATTTGCGTGTACCCCACCCACTTTAGGAATGTCAGAATTCACATTCTTACACAATAAAAATAAAAAATAAGGGTGATATTAGTATGATCTTGTTCAAGTCTTTGTAGTATATAGTAAAAATATTCATTTAAACCGCTATGCCTTAGCTGGTAGGAAAAAATGTCAGCCCCATATCAATTTTTGATAATTTTTCATGCATTTTTTAGCAAATTTATCTATGAAATTCAGAGAATATGAAAAAAATAATGGAAATGCCTCCATTTTCATATTGTTCCAATAGGATGTGAAGTTTTAACATCACCTGTACCAAAATAAATACAAAAAAGAAACTAATTTTATCATATAAATTGCTTATTAGCCATTTTTTCAATAATTTGGCGGCCATCTTGGCGGCCATCTTGGATTTCTCAAAACGTACCATGATTTGACATGTCTACCCAAAATTTTTGTAAACTTCAAACATTTAGCTTTACATTGGTATAACATTTATCCATGGACCTTTTTTGCACACAAAAGGTCCCCAGGGACTGTACTAGTTACGCATCTTTAAAAATATAACACAAATCATGCAATGGTGCCGCAAAAATCATTTAATATATAAAGCTCTAAGAGATATGATATGACATATATATTATAACCTTATAAACGGTCATCTTACGAGTAGAGTTTCGAGATTGATATTTGTGTAAATGAGTTTCACAAATACTAAAATGCCAGTAAATTGCCTTTAAAAATGCATTATTGCTGGTGTTAACGTTTTCAATAAAATATATTGATATCCTGTTTGCATTTTAAGTGCATGATTCGATTTTATTACTACATGTTCTATTCAGATATGTATCGTTATTTTTAGATAATACATTTACACCAGCTTTTAATTTACAATGCCTTAAAATGTGATTGTGTCTTTATTTAAATCTGCAGAACATTTGCATTCTCTGCAACGGAAGAAATAAATATTCACCGTCAATTAGCTCTTGCACAAGCTTCCTCTATCAGGCGGTAAAATGAACAAATAAATTCCATTAAGTAACAGCGGCACGATACGGAATTTCACTATGGTAGCTAGAAAACAAATCAAAGTGCATTTCAATATTCTGAATTTTTATATTTTTGTTTTCTAAACAATTAACTGCTTAAAAATTTTTAAAAAAAACTTGTATAAAATCATCATACGTATATATTTGATTATAATTCATTTATCTCTGCATGATGCAAAATTTTCCATGTGAAAAATAAGTAAACTGTGGTGTAATATGCACGTTAAGGTTTCTTTTAAAGAGATTAAAGCTATATCAGTGATTTCATGCATTCATTGTTAAGGAAGTATACAAATGCTATCCCTTCATATATGTATTTTGGTAGTGTCTTTGTCAAAAGTACGATACTATACTTAATGTATAAAGTATTAACATATTATAAGATATTAATGATGGTAAATGTTTCTTGGTTGTACCCTATATGTTTAAGTGTAAGAATTGTCTTAGAGCATAAGGTCAAAGCAATAATCGTATTTCTATCTATGTTTTCTACAACGAGAATGTCAGATTTTATGATAGTTTGTAACATTGCAATAAAATAGAAGCATTCTTTCAGTAAAAGAACATACTTCGTGAAGACTACCGTGAAATATATCGCCTAGCAGATATTGTTATCTAAACTAGATCAGTAGTGGCATAAAAAGTGTTCCAAAAATTATTCTTATTCTCAAAGTTAACTATCAAAATAGATTATTACGACAAAACAGGGAAAAAGACGGAATCCCTAAAGAACGCTCAAAATGACAAAATTGAAAATGTTGCAGGCTCGGTTTGATTGTGCCTGTTTATCGACGGTACTGAACAGTCCACTTCCCCTAGCACCGCTTTAGAATTCAACATTTAGTTATGGTAATGGTGAAATTTGAATTAAGAAACATCCGCTGACTTGATAAATTATGGCGGTGATCCTGAAAGTTGTCTAGTTACTATAATAACAGTTTATTAATCACAGAAATAATTCAAAAGTGTATGCAAGTTTTTTTTTAAAGTTATAGTAAATTTAATGCTATTTCAGTTGCCAGAAAGGAAAACATTTTCCAGAAAATAAATCAAATAATTTCATTCACCAGTGTAAAGTTATAGAAACATTTTTGAGAACTTCTTTTTAAAGAAATTCACTGATTTTGAACGTTGCTTAAAAGCGTAATGACGTGTTTTAAACGACTCAAAATAGTAACATTGTAATTATTTAACATTAAACGTTCATGAATACGTTTCCTGTCTCAGAAGAAAACACTTAACTTTGTCTACATTTTTCTTTATCATCTTTTTCAAATTGACAGGGTTAAAGTCTGCCCCTTAGTACGACGTAATTGTGTGAATCAATTGATTATTTGCGTTAGTTTGCAGTGGATTTTTACAAACAAATCTTCATATATTTTACACTTAACATTGAAAAGAAGCCAGCCGAATAACTAATTTAATGTCTTAGCCATTCTATCCATTGTTGTACACTGTTTACCAATAGCTGACATATTTGAGAAGCTAAACAGCGGCCTATTAAATTATTCATGTGAACGTTTATATCTATGAAAAGATTATATTTGAAGTAAATATGTGCTCAAAAAATTTAATTGAAAACGTTCAACAAAATAAGCACTTTAAAATTGTTTAAATATAAAGGTGTATTTAATCTGTAAACAAGTTGTTACAAAGCGCACTCAAACCTTGCGGCTTTATTGAAATAAAACATTTTAATGCAATTAACAAACGGAAGGAAAATTGTATGTTAACTTAATAACACTTCTGTGATGATTTGATAAGCGTTGTTTTTTTTTCGTTGGAAGATGATCAAATATTTCGGCATACATTTTTGTATGCGCTGATATTTTTCTCAGATTTTAATCATTTATACCTGACTTTATTTTACCTTTGTGAATTGTCAGTGACGCTTGAGATATTAAAGATATAACTTCTAGAGTGTTAGAGTTTAGATGTTTTATTTGGGTAATTGCCAGAATTACATCTATGAGGATGTTAAACGTTTGTTTGATTGACAACAATTCCTGTTACTTTTCAATTTATTGAATGTACGGAAAGTTTTGAAAGAAGCAATTTATTGTTCCGTCAATACTAAGCGGTATGTATCAAATTTTAGATATTGTAAACAAATTAGTGAATAGACAAACAGGACGATATTTCAATTGTAATTGATTTTGCATGAAACTGTAGGTGCCTTATTTTGGAGAATCACTTATACATAACTTTCATTATGATGGAATTAAAAAGAAGGTTTTTACTTTTTAATCTTAATCTGTACGATGTACTAAATCGGAGGAAGGTATCATATCTGAATAAATTGATAGTTTAGCATTCAACATTTCCGTAAATAATTTGAGTGTGCGCAACAACAATAATTATAGTCACTATGTAGCATTTTTTAAATAAGACTATTCATACAATCGATCAAGGTTTTGTTCTATTTCTTAAACCTATATATCTGAAAATTCTTGTCGCAACACCAGAATAATAGAACGTACTTAATTAATTGAGAGAATGTCATAAATATGTAGGGAAATAAAATGAATCTGTTTAAATGGCAATCAAAGTTTGAATAAAGAATCCAATTTTTATATTTATAAACGGAAATGGTCTTATCTGTTTTATAACTGGTAGTACAACTGCCTTAAGAATTCATCTGTATATCTCTCCTCAATCAGAAAGTGTAATATGTAAGAATATTAATTACAGTTTACTTAGAAAGAAATATTACGCCAAAGCAGTTTTGTCACAATAAATTGTAACATATCAACGGCACAATATATTTAAAATTCTATCAACGTTTCCAGATCCTTAAAGCGATGATTAGAAATGTTATTGTTGATTTTAAGTGATAATCTTAATATCATAAACATAGAAATTAAATAGGTATTTAAGGGAGCTCCACTGACATAAAACAGCGATTCCTGGTCTAAGTTGAGTGAAAAGCGTTATAACGCTTTGAATGTTTAGGACATGTTGCACAATATAAATGTTGATTCTGCAAAAACGGGTTGATAAAATGATCTGAAAATTTGCAAACAAGAAATTGGCCCAGATCATGTATCAAATGTGGAATGTTATACAGTTTAGAAAAAAATGTTTGAGTGAAGACATTTTTCGCCTTTACTTATAGTTAAAGCATTCAGTAACTACGATGTTTATGTTAACTGTTACAGTGACATGATTTTGATTTACAATGGTCCAGGAAGAATGTTTCATTAAACATTATTCATGTTGTATTAAGGCATGAATTATGAATGATTATTTCTTACATTTGGTGTAAATTTGGATGGAGGAATGTTATACAGTTTAGAAAAAAATGTTTGAGTGAAGACATTTTTCGCCTTTACTTATAGTTAAAGCATTCAGTAACTACGAGTAAAACCTTTAAATCTGTGATTGTATTTTCTTGGTAAGCCACTTATATCGACATTTTAAGGCAAAGGGAATAAAAAAAGTAGTGTTAACTGTTTGCTTGATTCTAATTGATGACAGTGACATACACACTAAATTTCCTCAGAAATTAAATCGATTTTTTATATAAATTTACTGGAAAATATGAACAGCATGAAAAGCAAGTACTACAGAAAATGCGTAATTGTCAACTAAATTATACTTCCTCTCTGATTAACTAAGCATCTTAGATGATTGATATTCAAAGAGAAAATAAATGTTTCATGTAAATTAAATAACATTAGTACGAGCTATCGTTTCTTTTCATCGTTTCGAATTTTCAGCAATGCAACGTGATTCATCATTATTTGATAGCATAAAATTGAGTTTTAATAATTACCCTACGCTGGAGTGCATGAAAAGCAAATTGAACGTCATGCATTTTATTATTTTTTGATTTCAATTTTATAAATATTTGCCTTTGTAATTCTTTGCATGCTATAGCTGACCGAGAAAAGAATCAAAATTATCTGTTTATTATTGTTTTGTACTATTCCTTGTATGGCACCATTTGAATTTACATCACGTTCCAATGTTTGATGATGAATTATTTATTGCTTTTACGTCACTTTATATTTTCTCAAACGGAAATGAGTAACATATTATTACCATCAACTTCCTGCATTTTATCAAGTTTGTAAAGAATGAATGCACAACATACATTTCATGTAATCTTTACTAGACATGTGGGGTTTTCAGCTGAAATGTGTTTTAACGGCCCCTGCAAAAACAACAGACAGTAAAGTTTTCGAGATTTTTTATCGAATATGTTATTATAATAATTCCATTTCATTTTAAAATCTATAAGATCATTTATTGCATTTGATTACAATTTTATTTTGTTATATACAAACATTTTCAACTGTAGATGAATAGCTAAGATTCGGAAGAATCATTAAAAACCAATAAACACCTTTCTAGTCTAGATGAATTACAACATATTTGAAGAACTTCCGAAGGCATTCCACGTGTATCACCTTGTTGCCGATGAAACAAAAATGAAACAGTTCATTACATTCTATATAATAATGCATGATTAATGGCGGTACAGGCACATAATAAAAAAAATCAAAATGATATTTCACGAGTTTTTTTTTTCATGCAATTTTAGAAAATGCGGCGACCTTTTTATATGATAAAGCAGAAAAGACTAGAACACCAAATCAAGTTCTAAAAAGAATATACATTGTATATCAGAGTAGATAGTGATGAAAATCGATACTGCCTATGTGTATAACAATATTCATGTATTATATAATTAAAAGAAACGGATTAATGTTTTTTTTCTTTATAAACTTCGTAAAAAGTGAGTTCGTTTCTACTATTCATTTTAAAGCTACGTAAATAACATATTTCTTTTAAATTATACGTTTCTTATGAAATAGTTAAATATCTTCTAGCAAATAATAATTTGACGATATTCCCTTGTTCAGAATATCAATTTAGAGAATATGATAATTATTATTCATACGTGTTTAACATTAAATATTTTATCTGAAACAAATATAAATAGATTTCCATATCATGAAATTTTATGCATGTTACCATGAAAATACTCGTCAATCTTAGGAAATGATTTTGTTCCTGGGTCATTCGCTCTTAAAGAAAGATACACACATTAATTCTTTCATATAGTTATTCATTTAAAAATCAAACAATCTATTTTGTGCAGCAGATAATATAGCTTTATATACTTTAAAGTGACATCATGTCCACCCAAGGAAATATTGTGATTGAACAGGTGAAAGTTATTTTACTCGTATATTGTTTCATAATTTCTTTCAATCGTATAGTTAAATTCGCATGAATAAAAGATAGCTCATTGTCAAGGGAAAATCTGTAAATATCCACCGGAATTTACCTGTAACGTTCAATTTATAAAAAGAGTTGTACATTCTTTTTATATTTAAGTCAGATTAACATTTTATCCTGAACCAATATCACCAGTCAATCTTTTGAAGTATCTTGTCTTGACAAGGAAAATATGGGAATACTGCCACAGTAAAAAGAAACAGCCAAAATTCCATCGGTTAACATAGTCTGAGTTACATACTCGCTTATGTTTTTCAATTTTAATTAAATTACACCTTGCATATTATTTATAACAAAACCTTAACAATATAACTGTTCACCGACTGTTAATTGATTCGGATCTCTATAGAATATGTTTGTCAAGTTAACGATTAGTCGTTACCTCGACCTCTTACACACATCTATGAAATTAAATGGTTATTGAAAGTGTCATACGAAAGTAAAATACATGTTTAAGGTTTTGTTAACAATAACAGTTCAACAAATATTTACAATTTAATTACAATGGGAGTATTTACGTTGCACGAAGGTTAATATAAAGTGCAAATATAACCTTTAACCTTGTACAAAAACTATTTTAATGCAATAAACGAAAGGGAGGGAAAACGTTTGAATTTAATATGTACCAAAGAATATTTCACATATTACAAAAAGTTTTTATACCTATAGAAATTTATCAGATATTACTTTTCTGCACAGTCAGTTTGGGAAGATTTTAAATTATTTAAAACTGACTTAATATTTCTTTTATACGAGGTCAATTCAACTAAGTTTGTGGTATCAAATGTAATCTAATTGAATGAAAAGTTCTATATATATATGCTTAAATTGGCTTGGTAACAGCGGGACTACTTTGCTTGATTGCCAAAATCACCTGTTGGTTTTTAAACTTCGGAATATCGAGGGAATTACCTCTTGTAACCATCAAAATTGAATACCGAGTGGAAAATATCAGATTTCAAAATTATAAAAATTATCAAATAATAAAACAGCAGGTAGTCAACTCAAGGTAAATATCGTTATATATTTATTTGTACGAAATATAACAAAAACTATTCCAAATATAATTTTAGATAGAGGTTGAAGTAACACAAATATCGTGAAATTTAAACTAGGTTAAGCCATAAAGGCGAGAAAACTAGGCACAAAGTAAAAAAAAAATGCTTTTGAAGCCGACAAGTATTATAAGTATGTTCATAATTGTCATTCATCTATATTTCGTTTTATTGCTGATAAGTTGATATGAGGAATTTCTAGATAATCAAACTGCAATCAATGTACGACAAAGCTTCAGCATAACAAGATATAAGTTCAATGATCTGCTTGTATGAATTACGTTAAGCAAATTAAAATGTAACGGATGGTGAAACCAAAGTTATACCATAAAGCAATACATATTGCTGAATTGTATGATATACAAAGATTTACCTTAACACTAAACTGTTCATTGATTAATACGATACGCTATATGCTCATTTTGTTATCCTAAGAGATAGCAAAATGACCTTCATATGAAAAAGTGTGTGTAATGGTTTAGAATATTGAATACCAACACATCTAGCATTTATTAAGGCTAGTTTAGAAAACAGTTTTCTTAATTTGTAATAGTGTATTATTTGATTAAAAAAATATCCACATAAATACTGGGATAAATTATATAGATTTGTATTAACTAATATCTTTCAAGTACAATTTGGAGTATTTGAGGAATTCGTTATTAATTAAACATTATCTAAAAAAGACGATACATGGACATTTTTTAAAAATTTAATATTTGATTTCTCACGATAAAAGAAAATTCTTTAAGAATTTTAATCATTTATATTGTGTCGA